TCATTACTACTGTCCCATCTGTTTCTTCAGACATTTGCCTCTCTCCACCTGATGTTCACTTTGGAAACATCCACATTTACAAATCTAGTTTTTCACTGCAAAAAAAAAAAGATGAAAGCTCATAGATAGCACTTCAAGGTGTTATTTTCATAGCAATTAAATTAGTCCTGCTTTTAAAAAAAAGGGGAAAAAAGATAACTTAAAAGATTGTCATTTAAACTTGCTATAACCATTTACCTAAGGACATGGTGACATTGACCATCATGATATTAATAACTGTGTAAGAGATTTAAAATTTACATAGCATGTTTGAATTATCAGCTGATGCCTCTAATGGCCGTTGGGGATATTTTAAATGATTCACAGGACATATTCAAAATTAAATCTAAATGTGCTCAAGTCTTGCTTTATGTGTGCTCAATAGATATTTACTGAACAGATTTGGAATATTGGGCACAATATTATTTTCTGGTTTAGCCCATGTTTTCTGTTACTGACAAGAAAACTTATGGATATCATAAGGTTAAAGGCTTTTAATTATGGGAATTTAATGCCTGTTTTTAAAATGTCAACAAGTAGATAATACACACAATTCTTTACAAGCTTCTTTCATTAACCAAAGCTCTTCAGTGTTTTTTTTTTTTTTGCTTTTAGGCAATTGGAGCTAAGTGACTTGCCCAGGGTCACACAGCTAGTAAGTGTCAAGTGTTTGGTCTGAGGCCGGATTTGAACTCAGGTCCTCCTGACTTCAGGGCCAGTGCTCTATCCACTGCACAACCTAGCTGCCCCCTCTTCAGGTATTTTAAAGAGATTAGTGAATAGCATAAGAATATAGTATACATTCATATGCAAAAAGGCTATGTAAATTTCGTTTCCTCCCATAACAACATATCCAAACAATTTTTAGGCAATGAAAACTCATTTTTCTGGTTCAAATGTAGTCTCTGATACTTACTAGCTGGGTGACCCTGGGAAAGTCATTTAACCCTGTTTACCTCAGTTTTGTCATCTGTAAAATGAGCTGGAGAAGAAAATGGCAAAAATGCTCCAGTATCTTTGCTAAGCAAACCCTACGATGAAGGGTCAGACATGAGTGAACAATTGAACAACAAATAACTTTCGTTCATAAGCAACTCATTTTTCTTACTTAAATATCTGTATGTGATATTTTTAAAACTTTAGAAAGTGGAAAAGGTTATTTGAATACAGGTCCTTAATTAAATAGAAATAAGTTGGTCGATCAATATTTCCATTACAAAGCAATAAAAAAGGACATCTTTAATGTGGTAGTCTGGAGAAAAGTTTAAAAAAGTAAAATGAAAAACCACTCCATGGGTACATTTCTACCAGAAAGCCAGTTACCTTCTCTCAGGTCCAAAGAGAAAGACTGGCACTACACAGATGCTGATCCTGTTGATAAGACCATACACATTTTCTCTGTAACTTCTTACAGTTTCCACTGCTCTGCTGAGAAACCTGGTTCTCTGCTTTTGTCCTTGGGATTCATGATTAGAGATAAAAGATTGAAGAAATTCTGTCCACTGAAAAACTTCTTAACGAATTGTACCAAGTGTCACCTTGCAGTTTTCCTTTCTAGAGAGGCAATTTACACTCCTGCTTATCCCTTTTTTGTAATTCACTCTTTTTCAGTCAGGGAGGTTTAATGAATAATAGTGACATCACTGATGCTAGAAAGAGCTATTCTTTGCCACAACAAAAGCACAGAATTCATTTTAAGGACAAAGATGATTTCAGATCAGAATACAATTAAGATACAGTTGAATCTGTGTTTCTTTTTGTTGTTGTTATCCTTTGGAAATTAGGTATAAATGTTGAAACTCAACACAACAAAAAAAGGTACTCCCACAAAGATTAATCAATGGTCACTAAAGCTTCATAAAATGTATATGAATAGGAAAGTCACAGAATATAGTAACCTATATTTAAAACAGAAAGAGATGTTAGAGATCCTCTCAGCAAACTCCCTTACTTCAGAGATGAATTCAGAATTGGAGAAATTAAATGACTTGTTCAAAGTCACACAATTTAAGTGACAGAGATTGAACTTGAATCTTATTACTCCTAAATCCAGATTTTTATTCTAGCTGCACTGGATCTGTGGAGAAGAAGCCTTATTATCACCACGAATACACTCATAAGTAAATAGGTATATTTATAATCCAGTTTTTAAATATTTAATGTGTCTTTTCATTTTAATTTTGACAGTCAAGTTGGTATCTATGATATAAGCAAATAAAAGAGACACATGCAGTTATTCTCTTATTGATTTGTATGAGGTAGGTTCAAAATCACATATTGCTGTATTTTAAAAATTAAACAACCTTAATTAAACTTAAAAAAACACAATTCTTGATGTTTCCTTACTTAGGTATGCATGTGGACATACACAAACATATTTCAGGTCTAAGTAAGAAATAGCAATTTAAATTATGCTTGTGTTTATTCTATTCTCAGTATCTTCAGTTTGATGAACGATTATGAAAGTTTAGATGCTTAATGTTAATAATTATATATCCCACAGTGATTTATGGTTTACTGAGAACCTCTTCACAATAGCCATATATACAGATATAATATATGTGTATATGTATATATGTGCAGACACATATATTCCATCTCACAAATAGAATATGTATCTCTACATATATGCACACATATGTGCATGTACATTTTATATATACATATATTGCATGCACATATATTTCATCTTAGATAACCATATGTGTATATATGCAAATATATGTATAAATATATACATGTATATGTGTGTTTATACATTTCTATATTCTATATAATTTTCACCGTATCTTCTCAATGTCATGAGACAATAAATCTGATCTTAGCGATGATCCATAATGTGAACAGCAGCCCAGAGGCACAGTGCTTTGGGTGGCAGTTTTTTCATTTTAATTTTTACTTACCTGCAGCCTAATTTCCTCATCTCATTTATTTGCAGCCTTGGTCTATGTTAATTTTCAAGGGTTCATATTTACTGATAACATTAAGAGAAAGATGAAGAATAGATGAGGATGAAAATAGATTACCAAAGAAATGCCCATGAAGGAGGATTGCCTTTCATGTTTGAGATGCACCTCATTGTCTAATTTCCCATTAAGGCCCAATTATTATTTAATTTTCCTTGTTGAGATTTAAAAATATTTTTTTTCTCTATCTTTGGAATATCAGCACAAAATGGTGAAACTGCAAAAACAAAAGCAGATCAATAGTTCAATATCCTTTTTTTCACTCCCATATTGTAAGAAAATGGTGGAGAAACTTAGCCTAAACCTCATCCCTGTTCAGGGAATGTTTAAGTAATTAGGTACAAACAAATTCAATTTCTTTATAGCAGAGACCTCAAGTGAATTTTACATGGAAAGAAATTTAAAATCTGGATAGGTTGTTATAGTCAACATGTACGTATCTCATCCTTCTCTACCCCACCCCACTCCCCTGCCCTCTAAACAGTATATCTTCTATTTGGATTTCAGTCAGCCAGATGGCAAAGAAGATTTTAATACATACTTGGAAGAAGTACTTTCATGTGTGAAATATTGATTTATAGAAAACAGTCCAATGTGTCTTGCATCAGTTAACATAATTAGTACAGGGAGAAAATTAATGCATCATGTCAAGAGAGAACATTGCACTAGTAAAATATCACCAGTCCCTCTTTAAAGATTACTTACCTTGAGGGTGTTTATTTTTCTAAATATTTGAATGTCACGAGAGGTAATAATATAACATTTGAACCTGTGGTTTTTCGTTTTAATTGCAGAGATTATGTGATTATTCAGCTAGCTTTTTGCATGGCTAAGTAGAGCTAGGCAGGAATGTTGAACATATTCTTTAAAAAGAGCAATAATGTACTTGAAATTCAATATGAATGAATTTAGTCAACTCAAACATTTCATGTAATCAATCTCTGATTGCATCAGTGTAGGTAACTCCTGCCACTAAAACCCTCCTAAGAATCAGTAAAGAAATTCCATGAAGTTAGCTGAATTGCATAGATGCTAAATGTCTTGTCTAGGGTCACACACAGATTAAGTATCAGAAAGGCATTGAGCAGCTATAGTGAACCTGAAATATTTTTATTGCATTATTATGTTATTTCAAAACTGAATTATGATTAGATGTCTCTAACTGAATTATTATTAGATTATTCCATAAGCAAACCCCTTAAGCAGGTTAACTCCTACCAATTGCTCTTCTTTTTCACCTTATCCAACTTTTGATCTTCCTATTTTTATGTCAAGTAAAGTTGCCATTAAAGCTGCTATACATTTGGGCTCTGACCTGTGACCCTCCAGTCTTTTTTTTTTCCTGACTCCTGCTACTTTATTTCCTTCTTTGACTATTTGTACAATTTAAAAAGAGAAAGACATGCTCCAAGGTCAAGCATATGCGGGATTTCTTATTACACCATCATTTTATCTCTATCACTGTATCTCCACTTTATCTCTCTCTTTGAACCCCAGGTCATGATCCCATTACTGTTATGGAAGTAGAACACAAAGTTTGGGCTTCTTTGATGTGCTGCTGAAGCTCCAATAGGTAAGCTAATTCTGGATGCTATTACATTGACCTTAGGAATACTAATTTACATACTTTCATGTAAATAAGATATGGGCCCCTGAGAAGCAGCAAGATGCTTATGAAGTCTGATACATAAAAGAGAAGAGTAACTGAAGCACTTGCCAATAATTTTTTTCTTTTCCTATTGTAATTTTAAACATTTTATTTATGAATTACTTTAGCTAGTAGATGTGGGTGGGAAGAGGATACGCATTGGTTATGCTTTGAAGTACTGACTATTTTATTTAATACACTACCTAAGAAATTACTAAAGTTCTGTAGTAATAGATTAAATATCATCCTCCAAATAAAAATTCAGTTATCCCAAACTTGGTAGTATGTTCACCATAAACCTGAAATAAATGAAGTAGGTATTAAACAAAATGTTTCTTTGTATTTACCTAGCATATCCTCAGCATTGATGATTCCCAGTTCAACTTCAGATCCAGTAATGATTGTGCATGTGAAAGGTATTTGAAGAAGCACGCTGATCTCACCAAAGGATTCCTTCTCCTGAAGTTTCCCCATAAAAACACGTCTGCGCTTTTTTTTCTGTTTAAGGGAAAAGGATATTTATATATTTTGAAAATAATTCAATTGCATTCTTCCATTTTAGAATAATAACAACTATTGTTCATATAAGGGCTTTAATGTTTACAAAGCAATTCTCCTACGTTAACATATTAATTCTTACACCAACCCTTTGGTGGCATTTTGCAGATGAAGAAACTGAGGCTGAAGGAAGTTAAGTAAGTTACTGAAGCAGGATTCAAAATCAGTTATTCCTGACTCCAGGCCCAGCACTATGTCACCTGTTTAGTTACATATCTATCTGTTGTTGTTTTTTGCTTTCCAACTATATATATATATATATATATATATATATATATATATATATATATATATTATATATATATATATATATATGTATGTGTGTGTGTATACATATACATATATGTGTGTATGTTTTATGTATGTGTGAGTGTTAGTGTGGTCTATAAGAGTGATTACATTAAAATACATACATGAAATAATTTCAGATGATCAGTTTACTTCACTTTTAAAATTAATTTGGAATTAGTTCAAACATACATAACACATATGCATTATATATATGATATAATACTATATATGGTTCAATATAGATACTATATATACCATACTATAATATGATTATATACATATATACATAATTAAATTATAGATCAAAAGTTGGAAGGGTTTTCAGAGGCTCTCTAGTCCAAATCCTTTATTTTACAAATGAGGAAACTGAATCCCTGTAAGGTTAAATAAACTGCCCAAATTGACAAGTATAGAAAACATCAGAGGTGTTTGAACTCCCATCTTCTGATTCCTAAGCCAGGGCTCTTTCCTCTGCATGGTATATTCATATTAGCACACGATAACTGAAAATGCATTTTCAATTAGCATCCACTAACCTAAATCCCAATCAAAGATGAAGTGGTGTTTTGGGAATAGCATTAGGTTGTTAATCAGGAGATTTAGGCTCTAATCCCAGGTCTATTCCTAACTACCTTTGGCCAATCAATAATTTATCTGGGTCTCAATTTCTTATCTGTAACAATGTCCTTTCTGTATCTAAAAATTTCTCCCATAATTCTATGCAGTTGGCATCAGTCAGCATTTTTTTTTTCCTGTGGGAATTGCAAAGGTGTTTTAAAGGGCTTTGGGAAGTCTAAGCATTTATTTTGAGGAAAGGAAATTTGGAGAGACTTGAAGAGAAGTTGAAGGAGAAGAAAAACAAGGACTTATGCTGATGGGAAAAAGGAAAACTAAAGGAAGAGGAGAAACTAAAAGAAAAGAATAAGAAAAAAAGATGTTAGTAAAACAAGGTAAGCAAGAGAAATTAAGAAACTTTTTTAAGAAGGAAAATAAGTTGGGTGTTACTTTCCATGCATTACAAAAGTGAGAAGCGGTAAGAAAGTAAGGTGAAAACTTGAGAGTCGAAGACCCAGACAAGTAGTTTGCCAAAGCAATTCTCCAAGGGACCTACTATCAAAAATGATAAATGGCTGAGAATCTCACTCTTCTCCAAGCAAACATGAAGGGAGAGATAAATTTGCAGTGAGCTACTCACCTTTGTGTGATGTTTATATTTCTGTCAAGACAAAAACAAAAGATGGTTACTTATGCTCAAAGTGTAGGTTGTCTCTCTCCTAGAAGACAAAGAGAAAGAGGATCAAGAAATACCTCTCCAATTTATCAAGGAAAGTAAAGTATTCTTTTTTTTTAATTGAAGAAAGCATTTCATGATTTAAAAAAAAGAAGAAAGAAAGAAAAAGGCAGAAAGGAATCACGACTTGTTTCAGGAGGTTTCAGGGTAGAAGAAGGAAGAAAGGAGACTACAACAGACCTCATGTCCTCAGATGTTACACATACATGCACAAAATGTAGAGAACAAAGAAGGGGCATGGAGATAATAATACAAGGTGGCAAGTTTGAAAAATGATGGGTAAAGATTGGTATAGGTAGGGGACACAGCAGCACTGTCTATTTTTAAAAATGTACTAATGAGGAAAATATAAGAATCAGATGTGGGAAGCATGGTGGAAAGTACCTCCTTCCCCATTTGGCCAACTGTATTTTTTAGGGACCTGTTTTCTTCAGTGTACTTTTTTTCTACTTGGCTAATGGTATTTTTTAGGGACTTGTTTTCTTCAATGTACTTTTTTTTTCCAGTTAGTCAACTGTATTTTTTAAGGACTTGTTTTCTACAGTTAATTTTTGTCCTTCCTTTTCCAAGCTATAGACTCTGTCTTGCATACTTCTCATTTTTTCCCCCATTTTTTCTCCTACCTCTCTCATTTGACTTATAAAATCCTTCTCAATCTTCACTCTTCCCATAATATGAATCTATCGCATGTTTGGGTTTTTTTGTTTGTTTTTTGGTTTGGGGGGGGTTGTTTTTTTGGGGTTTTTTTGCTCATGGTATTTGCTTATTTCCTGGCCTGTAAAGAGATTGAGTCAGGGGCACTGACCCAAGCTTCTTCTGTTGGGAGGTTAGGGCCTGCTCACTGGCTTCGTGTGCTGCGGCCCCTGATGTTAGCAGTTGGAGGCTGTAGGGTTCTGGCAGCTTACCTGGTGTTGGGCTGGAATCAGCAACGTGAAACTCTAGGGGTAGGATTGGGTAGTGTGGCCCCTGGAGATTTCCTATTCACCCAGGCCTTTCCTTCCTTTTGCTTTCTCCAGCTTCTTTCAAATGATTGTTGCGGGGCGTTTACCTGCCTGGGGCCCCTTGGAGCACTGCTTCCCTTAGTTTTGCTGAGGCACTGGGAGAGCAGGTTGCAGTAAAATTCCAAGGCCATTGGTGGTCTTCCAAGCTGGTTTCCACTGGTTCCCCTGCCCTCACTGAGGCACTCAGGGGTCCTGGTATTGGTGTTTGCCTGCTTCACCATATGGGTTTCAGGCTCTCCTCCTGGTATGCTAAAGTGGAGCTTTCCTCTAGCTTGGCAGGATGCCTCCTGTTCCCTACTGCTTCCCTTCCCCCAGGGCAAGAGGGGCCTTTCCCATTAATCCCCCAAGCTACCTGGGCTACTGGACTGCTGCACCCAGTCTTTCTTGTGGTTTGGCTGCTCCAGGGTTTTTCCTGGGGTGATATTTTCTAAGCTTCCAGAGGTTAATAATGGAGGGTAAGAGCAACTTACTCCACCCTCTTGGCTTCCAGAATCCAACATTATTTCTTAATGTGAATATGGTGTAGGAAGGAGAAAACTAGATGACAATGCAATTAAAAGCTTTCAAAATTAGTTGAATGGCCAGATCTAAGGAGTACTCATTAATGTCTTGATGTCAGCTTTAAAGGAGATCTTCATGGGAGTATTCTAGAGATTTATGCTTTTCCGTAATATTAATTAACATTTTTATCCATACCTTGGATAAAGCCATGCATGGCATGCTCAGCAAATATATAGATGATCTAAACTTTGAGGGTATCATATTGCATGAAGAGTAGGGGTAATACAAGATCTGGATAAGTTACAGTATTAGAATAAATCTAATAAGATGAAAATAAAAATAAATGATCAGTCTTGAGTTCAAAAATCCATGTCACATTTATAAAAATGGAGATGCATAGCTAGACAGTAAGCAATTCAATTCATCCGGCAAATTTCTGAAGATTTTAGTGAACCCACTTTAATTTGAATCAACAATTTGACAGAAAAGCCAATGTGATCTTACTACATTAAGAGAAGCTAGGTTATTGATAGTCCTATTGTACTCTGTTCTGGTGAAACAACAGTCGGAATATTGTGTTCAGAGCTAGCCATTTCATTTTAGGAATCACACTGATGAGACGGAAGTCACTCAGAGGAGGACAACCAGAATTGTGAAGAGTCTTGAGTTCATGTCATGAAGACTGTTGAAAGGACCTAGGGATGTTTAGCCTGGAGAAAAGAAGACCTGGAAGGACATGAGAGCTATCTTCAAGCTTTTGGAAGACCATCATGTGGAATAGTGATAAAACATTTTCTGTTTGGCCACAGAAGGCAAAACTAGGAGGAGCAAGAGTGGAAGCTGCCAACAGATAAGCTTAAATTTTAAGGGAGATATCACCTAATAATTAGAGTTGTTCAGAGGGCTGTCTTGAGAAAGAATGTTTTCCCACAGTAGAGGTCTTCACATAAATACTGGTTGACTACTTAACCTCTCAATTCTCCCAGACAACCTAAAAGTTAAAGATCATTCATTGAAATGCATTCATATATGGAATTCCCTCACTAGGAGTTCCCAGTACTAATTAAATCACAGATCCAAATTTTTTTTAAAAGGTTAAAATAACTTACCATTTTCCTAAGTTGATATTTCATAAGCCCAATAACTTCTCTATAGACTTTACAAAATCCAGATTGGATGTAAGCCACAAATGAGATGATCTCTCCATCTTTCACCAATACTGCAAAAGATATATTATATGGATTTATCTATTTGAGAATTAATTTAATTAATATATCATATCTCTCAAAAGTTTGCCTATTTGATTCAATGTGTGGCATTTCTCAGGTTCTAGATGGGTATCACTTTTAAAACTCCAATGTGTCTAAAGAAGATGTGGCTTTTGGATATATTAATTCATTTCTGCTGAACATATCTAAGAAGCTAACACATATCATATTAAAAACTGAAAATAGTATCCCATGATTAATTCATATATAAAAAGTTAATTTACTTCCAAGGGGTATAGTAAAAAAATGTTTATGTAATATTTTATCAGATTATAATTATCACCACTATGTTAGAAATAGGCTTGACACCAAAAATTTAGTATCAAGAAAATTTATTATAAGAAAGTACAGAGGATTTAGATGTTTCTGGCCAGAAGCGGGCTCCACCCCTCTTCAGGAGGGGTGGGCCCTGGGTGCAAGGGAAAGTGTGCTTTTATGCAGTTGAATTCGGGGCGTGAAACCTCCCAGGCCGGGATTGGTCCAACCCTTCCCAGGTTATACTTTTCCTTACATGTTTCCCCTTGATATGCTCAAGTATGTTCCCCCTCCCTTGGTCATACATCCCATGACTCATTAATGAGGCTCTAATTTTATGCAGGGTGTGTCAGATAATAGTAATGAAGTTCATTAAGCAGGCGCACTAACATTCTTCAGGTGTCCTCAGGTTGACCCTAACTGGTCTGAGCTGGCTCGACCCCTATCTTGATTTTGGGGTCTTCTTGGAACAATCCACTTACTTCCTATTGGTCAAGCCCAGCCCACCTACAGTGTACCACCTCCTGGGACCTTTGTTCTTTAAATCTTTGCATTATTCTACCTGTGGAAACTTAAGCCCTTCTAACTCTAACAACTACTTAAGGCACTAAAAAATTTAAAAATGAAACAATTTTACCAATGTAGAAAATGTGATTTAATCAACAGGAGAAAATCTGTAAACTTTAAAATTATGTATCTTCTTTCTTCTCTCATTCCAAAACACAACCAATCCAATCCAAAAATCACTTTTTTCCCCCAATACTTACTATATAAGGCCCTGTGCTGCCCCAGACAAATAAAAAAGCAATGAAGTCAAATTCAACTTATAGGCTTTTTCCTCTTAAGAATCAAAGGTTTTTCATTATATTCCCCTACAGCATTTCCCATAACTTGGTTGAGAACAATTTTATAAGATAAAGACAAAGGGCTAAATGTGTGTATGTGAGAGAGAGAGAGAGAGAGAGACAGACAGACAGACAGACAGAGAGACTGAGATCTATTTATTTCACTATGTAAAAGGGGATACCATTAGTAATTATTGTAGAAAGTTATTATTAATGTAAATGAAATGATGAAGCTAGGCAATAGCATAAGTATTCAAATAAAATTAGAATAATTATAGAAATAAGATTAAAAAGACCAAGCTAACAATGGTTACAATCTTAGATTTTTAACACTGCTACCAATCAGAGAAATTAGTCATAATGAATAAGGAGAAATTCTTTAAAAATAAGTTAAATGAAACTTCCATTACTGTTCACACATTTGTAAGTGTAGCTATCTATTGGCACTTTTTCTACAATCTTCAGCTCTCATAGATATTTTTTATTTCAAAAATCCCTGTCATACTTTAACTGATGCATTTTATCTCATATTATGCTAGCTTATATATTAGGCATAATATTTCATAATTTTAGTTATGATAATTCATAAATATATTATATGATTATAGCAACCTGTTAAAGGTTATTTCTCATACATACCCCAGCACTCATGTAGACTATAAATGAAAAAGTTTCCAGGACATTTTGGAAACATATCAGAGGGTCATGTATACACACACACACACACACACACACACACACACACACACACACACACACATACACACACACGTATATGAACACATATATATTATATATGTATATAAAATACATGTGTTCATTTATATGCACATGCATATTTATATCTGAAGTGAGGTAGTCTCCTCTATGAAAGGCTATAATAAGAAGTACTGACTTTTTGACATTTCAGTCAATCAATTAAAAGGTGAACAACAAGAATTTGTTGGAAATTCATATTGACTAGGTTGGTGGAGGGAGAATTCCCAGAAGCACGTACTCCCTCTCTCTATATATAGGTAGATGGGTGGATAGATAGATAGATAGATAGATAGATAGATAGATAGATAGATATAGATAGATAGATAGATACAGATAGATATAGATATGTATACACATACATACACATACATGAATTATACATGTACATGCATATGGGAATATAGATATAGATATACCTAATACCCAAATGGATCTCTGATAGTATCAACTTGAGAATTTCCTTGAGCAACAGGGATTTCAATCCACCCATGCCTATCTATTCTACGTGTGTCTCTTGCGTACGTTCTCCCAAAAGTTCATTCAATAAAATCTAACTTGCTAGAGACAGTCCTTACTTTCTCCAGAAACTGAATGTACCAGTAGAGAACTCTGTCCCCCTTTCATCTCTTGCTCTTGACACATGACCAACTCATCTTCTCTTCTTATCAAACAATTCCTTGAGGACAAACTACTTCTATTCTTTGGAATTCCCTACTAGTTATATATTACCCACACTTATTATGCACCTTCCCATTTTCTTCTGTGTGACATTCATTTTTAGTTCTTCAGAGGCAGTGGTTGCCTTTATATAATTGCCATATAGCAACATCAGTACAGTGTTATCATTGAAAAGGCAGACCTTCACTTTCATTGGAAACTTGAGTCAGTAAAAGACCTTGCACTTTTTCTCCAAAACAATCTAGACTAAGCTCATTGTCCATCTGTATTGCATGAGCCGGTTCATTAGCTTGACAGGCAGTGAGGGCCTTCTTGTGAAAATGAGATTAAAATATTGGAATGGCAACACTAGGCAATTATAGATAAACTCAATAATGTCATATAATTTAAAAACCTAGCTCTGTTCTTTCTTTCCAGTCTTTTTTACACCTTACTCCCCTCTATCTACCTTACAATACAGTGACACTAACCACTTTGTAATCCCTCTCACAAGACACTCCATCTCCTGACTATGTATTTTTCACCAGCTGTCCCCCCATGCATGGAATTCTCCCCCTCCAACTATTCTCTGCTGACTGGATTCCTTGGCTTTCTTCAAGTCCCAGGTAAAATTCCATCTATATCTTCCCTAATCCTGCTTAATACTAGTGACTTTCCTTAGTTTACACTCTCAAATTTACCGTGTATATATCTTGTTTGTAAATAATGTTTCATGTTGTTTCTTCATTAGATTCTGAGCTTTTGGGCAAAGAGACTATTTTTTTCCTTTCCTTGTATTCCTAGTGCTTAACATAATACCTCGAACATCGTAGACAATAAGTGTTTGCTCACTGACTTGGTGTAGAAAATGCGCTTCTTCAGGTAAAAATAATACAGCAAAATGTCAGCTGGCCAAAGACCTTCTTATCTTCAATTGAAGGAAAGTTTATTTTTTAAATGTCCTATGCTCATGTATATAAAGTAAGCATTTACAATATTGCAAGCAATATTAGCATTATTTTGTTGCGTAACTCTGAACATTGTTTTTTTTTTGCCTGGAAAATACTCAAAGGTTTCTGAACCAACAGTCTTATATGCTACCAGTTTAAGTTACATTTGCCATTTAATTTTTTTAAGATTTTTAGAAACATACAGTTTGTCACAAATGACAAGTAGCTTCCCCATATCTGCTAATACTGAAGAGATCTAAGAGGTCAATGGAACCATCAGAATGATCATCAGCAACACATATAGAATGTCAATGCCAAAGCCATCTTGCTTACTTTGTCAGCTCTTTATCATCCACATTAATCAGCAAATAGAGTTTTGAGAATAGTACTTCATAAATGTGTTGAAAGCATGAAAGTACGAAAACTGGTTCTATGAAGACAATGAGGGATTAAAAACATTGCCTGTGACAAAAGAATTCACAAAGTATGACTATATACAGAAGCTGAAAGTCTACAGGGTAATATTGAAGCCAGCTTCTAGTCTTGGTAAAACTGAAATAAACAAAAGCTGATTTTCATATTGCTTGCCATTTCAATTAGGAAGGGGGTGCTGGAGGGAGGGAGAGAATTTGGAACTGAAAATAAAAATTAAAAAATACAATAGAACATTAAAAACAGTTAAAGAAAAAAATAAGTTGATCTTTAGTATCTCTCGCTTTCTTCTGGTGTTTCCCAGCTCCTTATGTTCCTATGCTAGCTCCCTTTTACTATATTCCCTAGGCCTGGTATGTCGCATTCTTGAGCTTTCTAGCACTACAATTACCAGTCTAAATATTCCATTTTTAGTTTATCAAGATGCTATTGTGATAATGGGTGCTAATAGGTGAATGCATTATTACTCAGGTAATACACTTTCATTTTAGCATGATTTTCTGGAAGTAAGCCTTAATTTAAAGTAACAATCCCAACAGTGAGAACTTTATTCATCTGAATAGGCCAGTAAGGGAAATATTTGGGAACAGATAAGGTTTTTGTAATTCCTCAAATCACAACACATAGGCAAATACTTTGCCTGCCCATAATCCAATTAGGCTATGCTTTTGTGGAATGGATTAGCTTACTAGTATGGTGGAATTCCATGTGACACATTCAGCCCAGTAAGGGAGTAAGATAGAGCAAATGTAACAAAATCAGTATTATTTTCAGTTCAATATTATTCAGTATTACTCTCCCCTTCTGCTTTTCATCTTGCTTTTGTGTACTGACTTCCCTCATTAACTTTAAGCTCCTTAAGGGCAGGGTGTACCTCTGTTTTTATTTGTATCCCCAGCACTTAACATAGCTCCTAGCATGTACTGAATGCTTAATAAATTAAATAATTCGCTTACTTTATGCAGAAATTCTAGAGGAAGCATCATGGGGCTACATTGAGAACCTACTCACTTCAAGACCTCATGGAAACCCTAGATTTAACAGATTATTAAC